CATGGCTTGACATCTGAAATTCAACTACTGGTATCTTACAAAGTTATGCTCTGTGCTTGGGACAAAGATGGGCCCACAGATTTCTTGGATTCCACCTTTTGAGAACTGGAACTTTGAAAATAGTGGAATTCAAGCCTTCAAATGCGGAATTTTGAAGGTTATCTGAATTCTGCAGAGTTTGGTGAATTTTGATTCAGTTTCTTTCCTCGAATTCAGCACTCATCCAAACACAATCCACAAGTAACAATGGGCTCACTATATGACCACATTAAAAAATGAAGGCCATGTGGCCAATTTGCTGAAAATTGGGCAAAGGATGAATTCCATTTCTGAATAGACCACCTTTAGATGGATTTTCACACCACTAGAACAATTGGTAGGATTCTTTCTAGGTCTCTTTGATACCTCTTCCTCAGGCAGAGCAAAAGTAGTGAATTCTCTCTTTCTCTCTCTACATGAACCACAGCCACAAAGCTTTTCCTTGGGTTGGGATGACGATAGAGCTATTGATTCAATTCAACTAAATTAAGCAATTTTTTTTATGAAACCACCCAACCCAAACAGTAGAAATGATTAGATAAACCAAAGGAAACAAAGCTTTAATAGCTGACAATTAGACAATCACAGTACTTGGGACTTAGCACCGAAATCAGTGTCTAGACAAGTTCTTCCACAGCAGCAGTGAGGGCATTCGCACTTTGTTAATTTGCTGATTAAATAATCTCTATTTACAGTTACTTGACAAATCCCCTTCACGGATGTTGGGAGAGAGTTCAAAGATGGTTCAATAGCTACAATCTTAGGATTTTGACACTTTGACTCCAACNCCAACTGCATTACATAATGAGATCACATTCTCCTTTGAGCGATAACCACAGATGATATGTCTGAACAATATTCCATTTTAATGGTGATGGACATGATCTTATCTCCATTAAAAAAAGAACCTTGACATGCAACATTATTCCATGCCAGAAGGTAGAACAACCTTGTCACCATCTTTATGGAATTCCTTGATTCTTGTTTAACACCCAAACCACCAAACTTTTAGCATATTTCCATTGGATGCATGGTTTAAAGCAAGGATTAAAATTTTGCAATCGACCATCGATAGGTTGCTTTTTAAGGATTTTATCATAAAACCTTTGTTTTAAATGCTTATTTATATTATTACGACCCACTCCCAAATTTAAAAAAAAAGATAAAAAAATAGCATGCATTAGGTTCAAAGTATTGGTATATATATTCATGTTATCATATTTGGGTGTATTGATATTTCGAACCAAGGTTTTTAAAATCGATTTGGATAATAAACCGGTCAGGGGTCTAGTTTCTGGGTTGAATGGTCTGGCCATTCGAATCGAACAGTTGGCCTGTTCTGATAAAAAAATGGTCAAAACCATTGAATGATTCGAACAGTTCAACCACCCGGGTCAGCAATGCATTTATACTCCTTTAAAACTCAGCCTTAGTTGAAAGTATCAATACTATCATATTGTATGATATGTATTCCAGGGTTTCCGAAACACTAAATAGTGAGAGTTAGGGCCTTTTAATAAGTTTAAACATTAATACCCATCCTTGTATTTCTGATTTAATTCATTTTGATCTAACCTCTTTTACGAGGTCTGTATACCAAGACTGATGAACGAAATTGGCCTTAGGGCCTTATTTGGGAAAAAACATTAATTCCCATCTTAATGTATCTATTTATAAATTATAAAACTGAAAAAAAATGTATCAATTGTTGAAAACTCGCAATAGGCAATGTATTTGATCATGTAATAATCTTTTTCATTATTTTTTAGGAAATAAAAAAAGAAAATTTTATTATTAAATATTAGGAGGGGGGATATCACATGACCCTCAAAAGATACATTAGAGCAAACAAGCTTAAATAAAAAAAATTAGGAAAAAACATTAAGGGCATGTTTGATTCACGGGAATTGGGATTTGGAATCAGAATTAAAATGGGTCATTCTGATTTTAATTGTTTGATTGGGGGAATCAAAATCCTATTTTCATTTCTGGTGAATGTCATTCCCCCATTTAAGGGGGAATGTACATTCCCTCCCCTTCCCTTCGGAATGAAATCCTATTCTTACTAATTCCATTTCTCATTTAGATTCTTGTCTGAAGCAAACAGACTATAGAAATATAATACCAATTCCTACTTGCTAACCAAACCGGCCCTGATTTTTCTTGTTATTCCTTGTTCACTCCGTAAAAAATGACCACTTTCTCAACAACCAAACAGTCAATTAGAGAGAGAGAGAGAGAGAAGCAAGAAGCATTAAATCACTCCCTTAATTTTGTGCACATGTGAACTGCCGACAAGAAAGTGCAAACCCAAATCAACAACGCTTTCCAACGGAGCTCTCTCACACTCACAACAGCCATTTTCGGTCTTTTTCTGAGGGGTGGTTGGCCACTTGGCCTTTGATTATTTATATATCCTTTCCTTCCTTCTAAGCCCTCTATTAAGTAATCTCTCTCTCTCTCCCCCTTCTCACCTAAACCTCTTTATTCATTTATTATTATTCCATTAATCATTCTGATTCACCCTCTCTCACCCCATTTGGTTGGTAACTTGGATATTTCACACTTCTTTATTTCTTCCATTCATCATCATTCACCCTCTCAGAGCTATTATATTATCAACTGTCGTTTTCTCACATCCTTGGATCACTTTGTCACCGTCCGATGAGTTGGGCTAGGCCTCTGGGCCCCATTGTATTGTTTCACAGTTTTGGTCTTTTCTGGACTAGAATTAACAAATACTTGTAGATCGATTGAAACTTCTAACGTCTATGTATTCGATCTCCACGGTTTTGATTAAAATCAACATCATCGCTTTCTTCATGTAATTCCTGTAGAAGGACGCGCTATGGTGGACCATCCAATTGTTTTATTTACTGGGGGAGAGCGGCAGGGTTGGCCCGCCCCAGTTCAGGAATCAGGATTGTGTCAGTAGGCCCAAGCCCATCAGTTTTTAGCCCATGTAGCCATTCTCGACACTGTTAATGGGTTGGATCTGGTTCGGGACGGCTACTAACAGTCTCAAACTGATTATTAATCGGGTCTGGATCGACTAGACTGGACCCGATTAAGTTGATTATACAGATATATATATATAATTATTTATGTTATTAATAATTTAAAACTTGATTTTTTATAATATAGCCTCAATAAAAATCACGACAAAATAACAAATTTTTTATATATTAATAAGTCAAGTATTTTTACCGAAATGATCTTATATATTGTTTGTCAAATTTACCCTTCTAAATATAAAATATAATAAATATTACAAGAAAATTAAAAAATCTTAATATACTATTAACATAATAATCGGTTCAGGTTTGAATTGATTCAGAATAAGTAGAACCAACTCGGGACAATGACAAAATCGCTTCGGTCGGTTCGATTTTGGCGGATAGACCCGAACCATTGACAGCCCTACATTGGTGATATGTTAGAAAAATAATTTTTAGCGAGTGACAACGGTTATGTAATGGACCCTAAATGCGGGCCTGAAAGTGAAGCCCATTAAGGACAAGCTCATAGTGGGTCCTGCCCAATTATTCACCCACCAAGCTAGCATGGTGTGGCCCACTGATAGCCTGTTATTTTGTCTCATGTTTATCGCCATGGCTGCATCTACTAATGGGGGACCATGTGAGAGGGGGGACCATCGGCCACCGCCAGCCCACTTCTGATGGGTCCCAACGCCTTCTCTGATTCCTTCGGATGGGTGAAGTAAATGTGGCATGGTCCAAGGAAATGGGCCCAGATTATCCTTCGTGGGGCCCACCGTAAGCATGGCGCCCCACTAATGGCCTCTCCGTCCCCGTCCGCATGACTTTGCCATAATGAGGAAGGTAGGCACAGCAACTCTGTTACAGTGCATGCGCTCATAGACTACAACCAGCATCTACAGTCTCGCCTATTATTTCTGTGCTAAACTCTGACCGTTCGATAACGTACAGATCAGACGGTCAGTGTTTGAGATATTTCTATGGGCCCCAGAGCCAGACCTCCCAAAAATACAGAGGCTAAGCTCAGCTTCCCGCGGGGACTGCGGGACCCACAAGACGGTGCACTGGGCTAGGCTTTTACTTGAAAAAAAAAATTAATACTTCTCATCTTACCGCATTGAGCTTGTGGGCCCGGCCTCTGTAACCCAACTGTAAAAAACCAAAGTACATCGTGAGTCTCGACCCACGCAAAAAGTAAAAGCCTAAAGCAGTAAAACCAATTGCAAAATTCCCCGAAAATACCCCTACACCAGTATGGATCCACAGGGTCACTTTTGGTATTCAACCCGGATTCCACGCCAGATCTTTTCCGATAAGACGTCCGAGATAACGAACATAAAGCCAAGCCGTAAATCGGCAACATTCTCCATTCCAGATACCACCGGCACCGGCGGTTCCACGCTAACGGCGAATCCCAAACGCCGTTAGCCAAACACTCAACCCAAAGTCCGAAACCCAATCATCCGTTGGGACCCACAGAATTAAGCCGTTGAACCGCTGCTACTTGCCGTCGGGCGGAATCAATTAGCTAACTGGCGGTTGACACGTAACATCGTCGAGTTTGAACGTTAACCACCAACAGACAAACAAACCGTCTCTCCGACACTATATTCGCCTACTTCACGCTCCACCCTAAACAAAAACTCCCCCGTGAAAAAACCAGATTCAAGCGTCCGATGGAAAGCTCAATCAAATGTCAAAATAGCGCGATATTTTGATTTCCCGGGAAGAAATCCCGCGGCCCTCACTGACAGTTGTGTGTCCACTCAGAAACAAGTTTGCACTGTCAGAATCCTTCGATATCCAGTTTTATCTTTACTTAATTAATTAAAATAATCACTGTAATTAATAATTAAAGAAGTCCGATTAATTAAAAGATTCCAGCTTGCATTCGAAATTAATTAAACAAGAACAAGAAATTCATTTAAAATAAAAAACTTAGTTCATTTAATTTTTCTTTTTTAGGTTGAAAGAAAGAGAAGAAAGGAAAGCAGATGTGCAGACGACCACAACAACTAGGGTTTGTTCTAGATTTTAGACATCATTTCTCAGCCTTCACTCTCTCTCTCTCTCTCTCTCTCTCCTGCAACTTCTTTTCTTTGGCTTGTTAAGTTCACGAGGGAGACGATGAAGTCATGAAAAGCGGTTTTGCGAAACTGCCAATGGGATCTCGTCACTTGATTATTTTCTGTCTTCTGGTTTTCCTTCCTCTCGGGAAACCGGATCTTGCGTCAGACCGAGCTGCGCTCATTGCGCTCCGATCGGCTGTTGGCGGGAGGTCTCTTCTCTGGAACACTAACCAACAGTCGCCGTGTGCATGGGCTGGCATTCAGTGCGAAAATAACCGTGTCACTACGGTGCGTCTTCCCGGCACGGGACTTACCGGCCGAATCCCTGTCGGGATCTTTGGAAATCTGACGAAGCTTCATACGCTTAGCTTCCGGTTTAATGCTCTCACCGGTCCGTTGCCATCGGATCTCGCTGCATGCACGGACCTCCGCAATGTCTATTTGCAGGGTAACTTGTTCTCTGGTGAGATCCCGTCGTTCTTGTTCGGGCTTAAGAATCTTGTTCGGCTGAACCTTGCATCGAACAAGTTCTCCGGGGAGATCTCTCCGTCTTTCAACAATCTCACTAGGTTGGCGACTCTGTATTTGGAGAAAAATCAGTTGAATGGTTCGTTACCGGAGCTGAACCTTACGAATCTTGTACAGTTCAATGTTTCGTTCAATCAATTGAACGGTTCGATTCCAAAGGAACTCCAGAAGTTTACGACTAGTTCATTTCTAAGCACTTCGCTGTGCGGTTCACCGCTTAGCCCTTGTCCCGGCGAACCAACGCCGTCGACAAACACAGAAAACAACGGTGGTGCCAACAACAGTGACAATGGCGGGAAGAAGAAGAAGAAGAAGCTGTCTGGAGGAGCTATTGCAGGAATTGCGATCGGGTCGGTGTTTGCATTCCTATTGATTCTTCTCATTTTGTTCTTTCTGTGCGGAAAGAAGAAAACTAGGAAAACGAACGACATTGCAACGGCGAAGCAGCTCCCGTCGGATGTAGAGATTCCCCGCGAGAAACATATCAGAGAGGGAGACAATGGCACTCTGAACAGCGGAGGATATTCGGGCGCAGCGACAGCGGCTGCGACGGCAGTGTCAGCATCCAAAGCGACAGACCTTAACGCCAGTACTGGGGACAAGAAGCTCTTTTTCTTTGGAAATGCGGGCAAGGTTTTCGATCTGGAGGATCTTTTGAGGGCTTCAGCTGAGGTGCTGGGGAAAGGAACGTTTGGAACGGCCTATAAGGCAGTTTTGGAGGTTGGAACGGTTGTAGCTGTGAAGAGGTTGAAAGATGTTAGCATTTCGGAGAGGGAATTCAGGGAGAAGATCGACGCCGTTGGATCGATGGATCACGAAAATTTAGTCCCGCTTAGAGCCTACTATTACAGCAAGGATGAGAAGCTCCTTGTCTATGATTACATGCCCAATGGAAGCTTATCTGCACTTTTGCATGGTGAGCCTTTCTTCCTTCTCTTCCTTTTATTTTTCATGATACTTTGCTTTTAAGATTTGCACGGTATAATAATTGTTCTTTTTACTGGGGATGATTGTTTTGATGATCGAATAGGATTTGATAGGATGATAGCGTTACCTCTGCAGAATGGCTTATTGGATTTTGTTGTTTTTTTTTTACAAATAGCTTTTGGGTTTTTATATCTGCCTTTTTTATTACTGATATGTTCTTGGCTGCTGAGAATTTGAGATTTAATTTCAAATCTAACAATACTTTTGATTTTTCTTCTTGGTTGTTTTGCTGGAAAGATAAATTGATATATGTATCTCGTCTTAGATCTGTAATAATTTTATTGAATATTTTTCTTCTTTTTGGCTTGGGTATGATGTGTGTATTTTTTTCTCCTGTTCTTTTTTGTTTTTGTGTGTTATCTATGTCTGCATTGTGCTATATCTGCATGATGGGTCATGGGTGTTTTCCTTGGTTTTATTTAGTTTTACTTTTTGTTATGGTCTTGGTGATTTGGATCTAGTATTATTTTTGTTTATGATTTTAACTTTTCTCCTTGAGTTGTTTCGACAAAATTTCATGTTTGTCTACAGTGCAATATTCTTTAAGAACTTAAATAGGGGTCTGGATTCGGAATTGGAATGGGCTATTCTGATTCCAACTGTTTGGTTGAGCAGAATCGGAATCCCATTCCCATTCCTGCTGGAATGTAATTCCCCCATTTGTGCCCCTCCCTTGGGAATGAAATCCCATTCCTGCTGATTTTAATTCTCACTCCCATTCCTGTCTGAACCAAACAAACTATGGGAATGGACTTTCAATTCCGATTCCGGAGGATTTCGATTCCGATTCCGATTCCGACTACGAACCAAACGGATCCTAATTATTGGTTTCTTTTGTCCCCAATTATTTGTCTGTGTATCTCATGCTTCATTTTCTCTTTATTTTGATTTTATCATATAGGAGTATTTTCTTTGTAAGTAGTATATAGGATTACTTTCTCCTTCATTCCCTAGAATATTCATCAAATTCATTTGTTACTGATTTCTTCTTTTTTTCTTCCTTAAAAATTAAGTATTTGTTCTCTTTACCAAGTTTGCTAATTCCTATTGTCTGCAATCTACTTACATTTTTCTTGACTAATTAGAAATCTCCATTAGATCCATTAATCATTAATATAAATCCAGGAAAGCAAATTAAAGTATAAGCACAGTGAGCACACTATCTCAAACATTTGAAACTTAAAAGCAAACAAAACTATGTGCCTGACTAGCTTTATTTTTTTCTCTTCCCCTTTCTTGGTCGCGCATCTTTGACTACAGGAAACAGAGGATCAGGTAGGACTCCATTGAACTGGGAAACCAGATCAGGCATTGCCCTTGGAGCTGCTCGCGGCGTCGAATACCTCCATTCAAAGGGACCCAATGTCTCACATGGAAACATCAAGTCATCCAATGTCCTCCTTGGCAAGTCCTATGATGCCCGGGTCTCCGACTTTGGTCTTGCTCAGATTGTTGGCCCCACCTCCACTCCTAACCGCATTGCTGGTTACCGTGCACCAGAGGTAACAGATGGCCGGAAGGTCTCACAGAAGGCTGATGTATACAGCTTTGGAGTGCTGCTTTTGGAGCTGTTGACTGGAAAGGCCCCCACACATTCCCTATTGAACGAAGAGGGAGTTGACCTACCAAGATGGGTGCAATCAGTGGTCCGAGAGGAATGGACATCAGAGGTGTTCGACCTTGAGCTCCTGAGATACCAGAACGTTGAGGAAGAGATGGTTCAGCTCCTACAACTTGCGATAGACTGTTGCGCTCAATACCCTGACAAGCGCCCCTCAATGCCTGAGGTGACCAAGCGGATTGAGGATATCAGGGGATCCAGCCTAAGGCATGACCAAGATCCCCAGCCTGATGTAGTAGATGAGGAGGATGCGTCATCTAGACGGACCAACTCAATTGGATCAGGCCCAGCAGCATCTTCACTTATGGATTGAAGATGAATTATAGTCATTCATTATGCCCACTTTAGAATATGTCATCTGGTGTTTTTCCTTGTTTGTTGGATCAGGGTATTGGATGGGCGCTCATCTTCTTTATTAAGAATCAAACTGTGTATTTTTTTCCCCTTTCTTCCCATTAGCAGGTAGCTCTTTCTTCATTAAATTCACCTTTATATATGGTTGGGGCCTTGGGGGGGTTTCAATGTTGTTTTACATCTTTTCTTCGGAGAATAACTGTGTATTGGTTCTTGTTGGTGGGGGCACGGTGGTTGTTGTAATTACTTTTGCTTTTGCTTTTCAAGGCAACTTTTGATTTGTTTATATTGAGAAATTTCAGTTGCTAGAAGTAAGGATTTTTAGTTCTCCATTGTTTCTCAGGTGCACCAACTCCCCACTCATTCTATCTTTTGGATGGGAGGTGATTGGATTGTGACTTGTGAAACTCACAAGTTTGATGGCCATCGTGTTTGTATTCAGCATGTCCCTTGCAAGAGACCACATCCCCGCGTGTATTGGGAGCATCTTGATGATATCATCGGGAGATGCTCTCAATACACGGCGGGGATGTGCTGTGGGGCGGGACATTGTGGGGCCAAGATGTGAACTCCTTGATGTAAAAAGCCAGGGGTCTTTTAAAGTTTCCTGGTTGGGGGAAGCAACAAACAAGATAAAAACCCGAATGAAATGATTCTAGATGGATCAAACAAGGTGAAAATGATCTAGAGATGGTTTGATCTTACGCGTGAGAGATCACTTGGTACAGTACAGTAATGGGATTGTCCGATTTGATTTAATCTGGGGCTCTAAAATAACAATCGCAGAGCAACAAAGGACATGGTGCGAAGTTTCAAACAAGCTATGATTTAACAGAACATACGTCCTATACAAAGAGAAATTGTATAACTTTATTGATATTTAGCCCCCTTGGTACGGTTGACATAAATATACATGCTTTTACAATTCAAAAGATTAAACAAAAGAAAATTTCGACAAACCTTCTTAAGTAACAAGTTACAGCTTAGAAGAGCCACTGCATTTGGAGGAGAAATCTGCACAGAGTGAAGTACCTCTTATATTCAGTACCCACTACCACGTGAGCAAAGTAGTGAAAATTGCAGAGGGCAAGAAGAAAAGTTCGGTGTGGATGGTAGATGGTGGATTTCTAGATGATGAATGGGCTTGACATGTTCTGGTGGTCCAAACATCTATATCATATTGGACAATCAGATATATTGTATTTAGTACAATTATTTGATCCTCTGTTCCTTGTTTCTGTTGATACCCAAATTTTCTTTTGAACTTGAAATATTTTTAAGTGAGCTTTTATTCTCAGATATATGTTCTTTATATAGGGAAAGTTCATAGTTTGTGGAGTTTCTTCTATGGACTGTAGCTAATACTGACATCTTCCTTTCCACCAATATTTTGGAGTTACTGTTCAGTCTTATGATGGTTGGTTCCACCCTGCTTCGGGCAATCCTTGTTCTGTTCTCTTTTGTTTCTTTGCAATTAGAGAGAGAGAGAGAGAGAGGTGGTCTGGATGCAACCAACTCCATCTCTCAATTTGTGTCTGTTTGTGTTACACAAAATCTAGCTTTGTACAGAGAGTTCTCCAAAAGCATCTTTTTTTTTTCTGGTACCATGATCATGATTTCACAGCCAAATGCAAAACAAGGGCTCGGTTTGAGTCCAATCACAATTGGTTCCTGCAGAAAATACAAAGACAAACGGACTGAATGCATGCCAGATGTTATCAGTTCAGTAGGAGGCCAACTGGTTAGTCTGCTAATAGGCAGCCACTGGCCTTGTCATCACAAAACTGGGAGAAGCTCGTATTATCATGTCAGACTCAAATCATATTCGACTGGCGCAATCCAGTTTCAGGACAATCTGGGTTGGGTTGAAAGTCATCAATCCAAATTAAAACTGGGTTCGAGTCATTTTAATGTAGTCTAAAGCAACTAGAACCCATAGTGAACCCAGATTCTTGTTGTCCTTGTAATCCTCAAGATTTTATATACAGAAAATCAGTCCAATTGAACAAACATGCATGTGATGGGATCAATTTCTGAACACCCACATAATTTTATGAACTTGAATATAGATCACAGCAGGTCCTACAATGATTTCCAACATGTATTTATAGTTATTACCATAGATTTGGAGATCACACTCACCAGATGTTTTATTCACTTTTTGTTCTTATTCAGCATCTGTGCAGCTGTGTTTGTCTAGGAATCAAAAAGATAATAGGTTAGTGTTGTTTTCAACATTAACATTTGTTTGTGTTTCTTAAATTCATTCTCTCTCTCCAAATTTTCCGGGTTCAGTTTCATCTTCTTTGCCTGATTAAATCCTTTGGTTTGGCCAGTTGCAGGTTGTCTCCCTTAACTAGTAAAAATACAAGCAAATGGATGATCTTCCACACGGCACCTATGTAGTGTAAAGCAGGCAAAGCAACACCAACAAGATAATCAAGGCTCAGTTTATTTGCAATGTGAATTTCATTTACACTGGTGTAAATGCACATAGGTGAAAATAGGTTGTGCAAATTCTGGTTTACTTTCGCTTCGGATTTAATTTTGTCTTGTTCATTTATAAGAAGTAAATAGGAAGTAAGATGGGGGTAGTCCCTGCTTTATACGAAAGAGAATGGAGATAGGAGGAAGCTTATTTGTTTGGGAGTGATGCGGTCACCACTTTATATCAAAGAGAATCAGGTAAGAGGAGCGTAGTGCAAAGTACAAATTTTGTGTCAAATAGGAGTGCAGAGCATAATTACAGAGAAACAAATGCAAATCTGAACCAGGTTCAAACTTTGTATCTGATTCAGGTTTGCACTCTAAACAAAGCCTAACACCACAGCAACTGACTCGGCGTGGTGAGAAAATATGGACTCTGCACATATTGGTAGAAAAGTACATACTATTGAATTTGGAATTCCATAAATGTTGAGAGAGAAACTGAATGGTTGTGGGTAATATATATTTTACAACTGGTGTGAGGCATTATAATTGGTTCCATTAATCCAATCTCTATACTATTGAAATAGTTAATATTTTTTGAATTCTAACATTATATACATACACAAGGGGTCTAAAGTTTTGCCTTTTTAACTGACTAATGCTTTATTGATAAAAATGGCATTCATTTTGTACATTGGTTTTTCATTTATGTCAAATAACAAATATGCTAGAAAAGTAAATGCTATGTAGAAGCTTCCCTCAGAAATCCGTGGAGTGTGGAAATTCATTGCATCAGTCCTTATACAGTACATTATCCATTGAGATGAAGAAAGTTAAAGTGTTATTTTCCCCAAACTAGAACTTTGGAACAAACCCAAAGTCCATAAAATATTCTAACCAAGATGGTCCCATATGAATTTTCGGATGGCCAATCTTTTATGGGTAAGACATTAATGCTGTCTTTGGTTTGATAGTATTAAATAAGAGAGAAACAGAGAGTTGAGGGAAAGTTCCTAAAGAAATTAGCAAAAATCCTTAAGAACTTTCCTTCAACTTCTGTTTCTCTCTTATTGAATACTATCAAGCCAAACACAGCCTAAGATGCAAGTATGCAACTTAGGGGACGCTTCCCCTCTGAGTGTATTTGGACATTTTTCCATGGAAACTAATGATAATAAAGAGATTGATCTTTCCTGAGTTCCGACAAGGATTTCCCAACCAATGTGGCAATGGTTTTCATTGCGCTAATGTGTTTATCTGCCTGCAACTTATTCCTTACATATGGTTTGAAGGAAGCATTCAGTAGTCTTAGAACTAGCATCACAAAGTAGATAAATATTGAAATAATATATAATAGATGTTGTAGAGGCAAATGTTTGATCAGAAGTAATAAACCCAATAGATGAAAAGCCCAAATCTCATTTCCAAACTGTTTTAATTCTTTGACAATTTTGAACTGGGGTCATTAGAATCGGTTCTGGTAGAAGGTTGTCTGTCACAAATAGTGATTCAAGAGATTCATAATGAAATACAAGAAGATACTCTTTCCAGCGAAGGGACAACCAGTTGAGGCAACCTAATTTCTTAATGAATGGATTTAGACCCAATGCAAACACTACGACTCTAATGGTGTATTTTCTTGCAATAGATGGGCTAGACTATGAACATCTTGGAATTCTTATGGATCCACCAAATGACAATAAGGAAGTGGTCTTTCAGCAAATCAACAAACATCAATCTGTTTAAGTCTGTCTGTTGGATGTACTGGCATTCTGGAACTATGCAAATAATGTATTTTGAAATAATGTCACCCATGGCAATGAATGGATGTTAGTCTCTCTTTGATATCTATAATCATAGAAACTTCCCAACAAAGAGCCATCTGTTTGGGTTCATTATCTCATATTATTGAATAAATGTCAAAATGTATTTCCTACCTAGGAGGCTAGGATATATACAAAGTTCAAATGTTATTTGAATTTGAGTGCTGAATTGGTTCTATCTTGTACTAGTTTTTGATAATAGCATATCCTACGCAGCCAGTGTAAGTCATGCAAAATATCATCAATTCATCATACATGCATATGAAGGCCTTTACCCAACATAGAGGGATTAAATGCAAGTGATTTCTCTATCCATGCCTTTGATTATTATTTGGTCATGGCGTGGTGCCATCACTGTCATGCACAGTTCTTGCAAAAATAGGCATCAGACTTCTAAATTGAGTATTCGGCGGTGTAGTATCTACCATAGCAGCCTCTCTTGTTTCAGGAAAAAAAATTGGAAAACTTCTATCTCAGACTATGACTTGGGATAACGATTTCACCAATTACAGTATCATTTTCCCCATTTATAAATTATAAATTATAAGCAGCCTTCTTCCCTCCATCTGGTTCATGACTAATTCTCATGCTTACGAACTGTTTTTCCCATGAAAAGCATATAGGAGACTTGGTTTCCATGGATCCAATGGGCAGTGGCAATATTACTTCTCTATTTATGGAAATATTGTCTTAAACGTTAGCTTCCAGGATCAGAACCCACAGTTGGATGAGACCTACCCAAGAAATAGCCAGGCTGAGAAAGAATCAATTCTACCCCAAAAAATAGGATGACTTCATTTTTCAACTAGTCTTTTTTAGCTTTATATATATATATTTTTTGTCAGACTCTTAAATCTGGAAGGTAACCTGCATCTTTTAAAGCGCAAGTCAGCTCTTTGATCACCTCGTATATCTGCTCACTCTGTCTGTGAGATTTGTCTCCAACAGCAAAGGTGTGGGCCTCCCCTTGGACCTCAATCCAGCTATAACCGGGTTCCTTTCTCACCCCAGATACCTTCATCACCTTCCTAACCTCTGCGACATGTTTCCACAACCCATAAGCAGCATAAGCATTGGATAAAACGACATACTTCCCTGCATTTTCTGGTTCCAGCTCAAAGAACTTCTTCGCTGCAAGCTTAACCAGTTCTAGGTTCCCGTGAATTCTGCAAGCACCAAGTAGAGCACCCCAAATAACAGAGTGATCCTCACAAGGTGAGTTCAGAACAAACTCATAAGCCTCGTTCAACCTCCCCGCACGCCCCAAGAGATCGACCATGGCTGCATAGTGTTTCCCTCTTGGCCTAATACCGTAGTCTCTGGACATTGATGTAAAATACTTCCAACCCTCGTTAATCAGGCCTCCATGACTACAAGCAGTAAGAACTGCAAGAAACGTAACATAGTTTGGTCTGAAGCCTTCATGTAACATTCTATTAAAGAGGTCTAAAACTTCATTAACTCGCCCATGTTGGCCATACCCAGAGATCAGAGCAGTCCATGTAACAACGTTTCGCTCTGAGGTCTTGTCGAATACACGATGACCGTCATGGGGACTACTGCACTTGAAGTACATGTCCGTGAGAGCACTGTTAACCACAACATTCTCTGTCAGTTGGCTCTTGATCATAACCGCATGGACCCGCTTCCCCTGTTCCAGAGTTGCCAGCGAAGCACAGGCTCGGAAGACTGATGCAAACGTGTACTGGTCGGGTATCAAACCACTCTGTCTCATCTTGTGATAAAGATTCAACCCCGTTTCATCAAGACCCTTTTGCACATATCCTGAGATCATCGCATTCCAGGAAACCAGACTTCGGTTTGAAATTTTATCAAACATGATATGAGCAGTTTCCAAATCTCCATTTTTCGCATACAATATGGCTAATTTGGTCTGTAAGTATTCATCAGGAGCAAATCCAACTATTACCATTTGTGCATGGATCCTTCTCCCTTTCTTGAACTCTTTCCTGAATATGCATTCTTGCAGTAGAAGGGCGTATATCTCAGTATCCAGGAGCGACTCTGTACGACATAAAATGTCAACCGCTTCAGTTAATCTTCCGGAAAAGCAGAGACCCCTCAAAGTCTGATCCAATTGAATGAAGCTCCCCCGAGTCCGACGCGAAATATGGAAATATCTCATTGTGGGTATTCGCATATCGGGCTGATCGGGGGAAACAAATAGGATTTAATCGTCGACATCAGTCCATCAGATGGTTCAAAAGTAGCTTTTTTTTTCCGGATAAAAGACTGTAAAAAAGAGCAATTCAAAGCTCAAACTTCAAGCCAAATGATAATGCCGATTCTCTTAAATGGGCTTAAATGAGTCCCGTGGGTTGTGGAGCTGCGTCATCTTGAAATTAGGTTAGGTGGTTCACCAATCACCAATAGATAAGACATCAACGTTTCACTGAGATTGTACTATTAGCTTGAACCTAGGTGATGGGTCCCTCATAACTTGCCACATGTATATTAAGCGAGCAAGGCTTAGTTGAACGCTTTTAACTTAAGGTTCAAAATATCGTTATATATCAGTTGATACGTATCGGAGTATTTCTCGGTATGCCCCTACAGGAAGTGTATCGGGTCAGGCCATGGTTCAGAAGGTAACAAGGACTTAAATTGACCCCTCTGAACCGGTTTTGAAAATAAAAATAAATAAAATATAAAAAAAAGCACCGATATGCCCTACCAACATATCGACCTATATCGATATTTTAAACTTTGCTTTAACTGTTCGACGGATCATAAAACAAATGATAAGGTTACATACCAGTATTTAAATACATGGGACCACATTTTTATAGTAGGGCCTATGAATTTATTACTGACTAGAACCTCATCGTTGGTTTCACGGTACGCTGAATAGTTCAAATCTGCACTCATCCTTTGATAAATCAATCCAAAGAGAAACTGGGAGTTTGGGTACAATTAACCTTCTCAGTGGAAAAAGAAGACGTGGCCAACCTAAGAGCTACTACCTGGACCTTCCCCTCTAATACCCTCCTGGTAGACTTCATTGGACAAGTGGCCCCCCCTGAATGCCTCTTAACAAAAACTACAAAGATCCTTCCATCCATATTACTTGACCCAGTAACCACACTTAATCCAGCCACCACCACAATAAATCACCCCCTCATCCATGAACCTTCAGTCAACATCGAATATGAGGCAGCTACTTTCCCAATTGGTCACTGTTTCGAGGATTGCTACCAACCAGCAGATTTCGATAATTTGGTCCTTCCCCCTTCAGCCCTGCCACACTTATAGGTATATACTACTAATTAAGGTTTTAAAAATCGATTCGAAAATGGAACCGTTTTAGTTACCGATTTCTGGGTCAGCAGTCTAATCGTCTGGATCGAACGGTTTGCATTAGGGCAAACAGTTATATACTTGTATATGAGAAAGGACTCAAAGGAGAAGTGGAGAAGAGAGTCAAGAAACTTTGTTGGCTGAGGAAGAAGAAAAGAAGGAAAAAAAATGGAAAAGGAGAGAAAGGAAAGGAAGGAAAGAAAGAGGGAAGGAGGGAAGAAAGAAGAGGAGGAGAATGATTTGACGCTCGATGAGATGGTGATGGCAATAACAGAGCAGATGACAGATTTGAGATATGAGTAATCGGATCTCAGATCTCAGATCAATTTCTCTGCAATTCATTTTCTTCTTCTTCTCTCTCTCTAGATATCAGATCTGAGTTCATGTCTCAGACTTAGACTTTCAGTTTCTCCCCTCTTTGCAATTTTTAAACTGCGAACCGTCTGGGTCAAACAAATCGATGGTTTGACCGCCCGGGTCAGCGATTTTCTGACAAAGTCAATGGTTTTTTACCCAAGAACGGATCAGGGGTGAAACAGAACCGGTTGGTTGGACGATTTCCTGGCCAAATGGTCCGACCGTTCAGGTCAACGACAGTTCAAAAACATTGCCACTAATCTCTTCATCTATTTTTTTATTGCTTTAGCAAAATTTTCCTTTCTCCTCCAAACTACTTTGTTACATTCCGTATTTCTCACCATGAAAATTTTATCCCGAAATATACGGGGAGCAAATGACAATAAGAAAATAAAAGAGCTCTCAAAATTATTGGCATTTGCGTAAATCTCTGTGGACCTATTTAACTCAACTACAAGCCAACACCAATTTGTCATGGCTGCTTATTGGTGATCTCAATGACATATATCGTCAGTATGACCATAAAGCTTTTAGGAACAGCAATCCCACACTTTCCAAGCCCTTACAAAGCTTTATTTATACCTTTAATTTGATTGGTTTGGATTTTATTGACCCACCATTTACATGGATTAATGGCCAACGTGGTAATGCAAAAGTTCTTGAAAGACTTGATAGGGCTCTAGCAATCCCTTTTCAGTGTCAAATTTTCCCGCACACCCTACTATACCACCTTCCTATCACTACCTCGGATCATGGTACTAAATCTTTAAATACTAATCCATCCTCTCCACCTCGAAGACCTCATTTTCACTTTTTAGCTTTTTGGGTCAATTTCCCACAATATAAAGAAATCATCACTCAAGTTTGGGACCGTGACATTATAGGTTCACCTGCCTACCAAATAACCAGAAAACTAAAACAATGCAATGCATCACTTCAAGCTTGGAACAAGACACACTTTGGTCAAATTTAAGACCACCTTCATAAACTCTTCACCAAAATTCCCAATATGCAAATGCCCCATTTGAATGAGGAACATCACCTACTCAGGTCTCTCACAAAACAATACCACTACTGGCTATTAAAGAAAAGCAATTATGGAGGCTCAAATCTTGTGAACTATGGTTCCATGAAGTGATAAAAATACTAAATTTTTTCACTGCATGAAAAATTTCAAGAACACAAGGATTAGTATTGAATGGATCCAAATCACTAATGGCTCATGGACATCCAAATGATAAATCATAGCTCACACCTTCAAGTTGTAATAGTAAACACGGGAGGCCAGCCAGAAAGTTTTGAGCTAACTGATGTTATATTACCTACTTTGTCCACCTCACACAAAGATGCATTGCTCCTCCCCCCAACCTTAAATGAACAATCTATTGTAATATAACAGACGAACCCCAATAAAGACTGGGTCCTGATGGTTTCATTGTATTCTTTTATCAACATTTTTGGAACGTATTCAGTCATAATATTCTCTCCATGCTTACAAATCTATGGACACTTCCTAAAGAAATCAACAACACAAACCTAGTTTTTATCCCCAAAAATAACAAATCTATGGACACTTCCAGCTATCATCCTATCAGCTTGTGCAATGTGTTCTATAAGATTATATCAAAATGAATGGTGCACCGCCTTCAACCCATTTTACAATAGTTGATATCCCCTTTCCAATCGGGTTTTCTCAAGAACAGACAAATTATGAACAATGTTCTTCTAGTCAAAGAAGCCCTTCACAAATTGAGGACTTAAAAAAGAGGAAAAGGCTACATTGCCCTCAAACTTGATATGCCAAGGCATTTGATAGAATGGGATGGTCCTTCCTATATCATGTGCTAGGTAAAATGGATTTTCCCCTAAAATGGCACAACATGATCCACCAATGTATATCCACATTCATATTTTCAATCAAAATTGCAGGGGACCCATGAACACTTTCATTTGAAACAATGGTTAAGATAGGGGGACCCGAACTCCTCGTATCCATTTATTATTGGTACGGAAATACTCACAACTCCTACTTCAAGCTTCTGCCTAAGGTCGAATTGAAGGTGTCAAACTCTGTAATAGAGGCTCTCCCATCACCCATCTTCTATTTGCTGACAATTGCATCTTTTTTTGTAAAGCTAATATAACCCAAGTGAGAACACTTGTAAATATTATTAAGTCATTTGAATCCTTGTCAGGTCAGCAAGTCAACCATGCGAAATCAAGTATATTTTTTACTAGAAATGTTCCACGTCATCATAGGAAATTTTTCTCACATCCTTAGAGTTAATAAGTCTCTTACTGGTACAAAATACTTGGGAACTCCAATAAGAGTGAACACCCACCCGCTTTCAGGCCTCCCACAAAGAAATCATTGATCGTGTGTCCTCTAAGGTGAATATGCATGGAGCTTTAAGCTTTTATCACAAGCAAGCACAACAGCACTCATCAAATCAGTTATGAAGTCAATCCCCTCATATGCAATGTCAACTACTATATTCCCAAACTTAATTAACTCAACTGGATAAAATAGCTCGGTCATTCTGGTGGAGTAACCCAAGTTGTCCAATCAACCATACCATCTCCTAGATGAAACTTTGTTGTCCTAAGTCTCTGGGTGGGTTGAGTTTTAAATCCAGCTTCGGGTATATACTCAGTCAAGTCAGCTTACCATTTTTTTAGTCATGTTCGAGTTCAAGTCCACACTTCAACTGAAGGTTGCTTTGAAAACTTAGCCCTATCGGTTTCAAATATTCCTTTGGAAGCTATTATGGGATGAGTTACCCACTAAAGACAAATGTCACAAGTGGCTAAGCCTCCTAGATCAACTCTGTAACTCCTACAAGCAACAGTAGGAAATAGCTTTTCACATATTTTTTCAATGCCTATTCGCAAGAGCTGTTTGGTGTAAATCACAAATTGGGTTAAACCCAGCATCCTTAACATCCCAACCAGTGCATGCCATTCTATCAAACTGGTACGAGTCATTGCGCACCCACTTTGGTAAATCCCATGCCCAGCTAAGTCTAAGCAACTTCAGCTTGCTCAGTTACTTCATTTGAAAAGAACGTAACAAACCGCTTTTTGAAAACACCACCCCAGATCCAGTATCCATTGTTCATACAGCTTTTCAAGCTTGCACACCAAAAATAGTTCCCCCATCTCACCACACCCACTCACTCCCACCTTGCACATTGATGGACCGTTTGATCCGGTTACAGGGAATGTAGGACGAGGGTTCGCCATCAAACATCTCAATGCCAACTTATTCATTGCAGAAGGTAGTCCATGATGGGCCCTCAACAGGTATGATGCCGAAATATGAGCACTCTTAATGGGTCTTAAAGCAGCACTATCACATGGCAGTAGACAACTTTTGGTCTTTTCCGATAACTCTACCTTGGTAGATCTTGTAAATATAGATCGGCAAGCTATGCAATGGATCGAACAGCTACATTGCAGCAGCATAAAAAATCTCATATGAGCTTTTACGTCTATATGTTCTATACATATTAATAGACTATAACCAAACTGCCCATCTTTTTGCTTATACATCTTCTATGGGGCGTACGCACTATGACTCTAACAGCTCCTCTCATGTAATATTTTCAATGATCAAATGAAGCCGGTTGTCATTTTTTGCAAAATAAAAAAGGGAGCCTAGCCAATGCGCTAGTTGTTCAGTTGTTCCTACTCAGCCTCGGCTTACCAAATATTCAAAATCAGCTTGAAGACTATCGAGTCAAATTGAGCTTAATTCAAATCAAGTAGTTAATCAAGTCGAGTTCAAACTTTATAATACCTAATTTGAGTAGCTTGCAAACCTAATTAAGCTTCTAATAAAATATTTTTAATATATATTTTATTTATAATATTTCATAATATTGATTTATTTGTAATTTTTAATACATTTTTGTTTATAATATTTTAAACATTAATTTATTTATAATTATTAAAAGCAATTTATTTATAATTGACTCAAACTGAGTTGAGTTCAAGTCAAGTTTCAAGCTCCACCAAGGTTTTAAATTTCGCAACGTATCAACCCGTATCGGCCGATACATTCGTTTCACATTATGTATCAGCTGAATTTAATTTCCCTCTCCTTTCTAAATTTAAATTTAATTTCTCTTCTCTCTCTCTCTCTCTCATTAATATCAATTTTAATTAAGCCTTAAAGTTTGAGATGTCACAAAATGTTAATATTATTTAATCTTTTGAAGGCTAAAATCATATTTCATTCATTCAAGAAATTGATACAAGTACATAAAATTGCCAACAAGGCCAATTAGAAACTAAATACAATTTCTCAAGAAGAACAAAAAATATAAATGGATGTAGGAGAACAAATGAACTTCTGCAATCCAATAAAGGTGAAAAATCACCAACAAAAGTAGAAAAGCACAACTCCAATCCACCACAAACGGCAAGAGAAAAGACAAGAGAGGTTCCCAAAAGAGATTGCAAAGAGCCAGTAATAGCATGGTTGGGGTAGATCTGCAGAAGAGGACAAAGCCCCAAACATTACAACCAAAAAATTGTGAATGGAACTGACCATGAATTGCACATTGAATATGTCATTAAAAGTTGTGCTCCCCCATTGAATATGTCATTAAAAGTTATTTAAGTCATAATTTGTTAAAAAATCACAAACCAAAGGTAACAAGTTTTAAACCCAAGTCATTTGCTAACAACAATAATTAATTAATCATTATGCCAATCTTAATTGCTTATTAAAATAACATGTTTTTTATACTTAATGTAATCTTTCTTGCCTTGGTGGATGTTTCCCAACAAATGCTAAAATTTGATTATCGATATTAATATAATAATACAATGATTACAATTATATTTACTTATTAAAAATTAAGGTATATATTAACTCGTATACATAATAAATATTATCTAAATCTATATATATATAAAATAAATATTAACTAATAAATGACTTCAAAAAATTTTAACTAATAAATATTAGTATATACACACACACATACATTTTAGTTCTATTATTTTCCAACGATTACTAATTATATCCCGATACTTTATATAAATCATTAAAGAATGGTTTTTATGTTTAAATAAATTAGTTGTAATCACATAAAACTCATTTTTATTATTGTTCATATTTTTAAGGTTTTTTTTATATTTTATAATGTACCCATGTGTGTCTTAATTTTTCATCTGTATCTATGCATTTCCAAAACGTATCTCGATACAATTCTTAAAATTGCCTTTCCAAATTTCCGATACTTTGAACCCTGAACTCCACAAATATCAACCGGAGTCAACTATTGAATATGAAACTCAAAACTCGATTGAGCTCAAATTGAATTTTGAATTCCAAGTTTTAGTCAAGCTCAAGCCCAAGCCACCCAAAACTTGACTCGTCTTTATTACACCCATACTTGTACATGTCTCATATCTGAATCCCACCCATTATGCATCGGAACGCTCGTTAAAGCAACCCTTAATCCATGTGGTCAAGGCGCAATTCATAAGGCATTTTAATACGTCTAGAATCTAGACCTCTTCAGTATCATTATATCATACTTATCTCTACCTCTCGAGCCTCAAGGCCCTCAACCTTTCCCTAGAGATGTGGGCCTACATATACCCATTCAATATTTAACCTAAATTCATCATATAGCTCCCAGACAACCATACGAGGGGTTTTGGAGCCATTCAATCATCACCAACCCTTTTTAACCGTAGACGGACCAAATACACAAATCCTTTTCAGGTCCAACGGTCAAATCAGCTGCATATCACTCACTGCTCTCACCCGAATACCCAACCCAACAGGACCTCCCTCCTCTGGGCTACAACAAGGCAACAAGCAACACCCAGAATATTAATTAAAAAAATTGCCACTGCCAACCAAATTTTTTTACTCGAGATTCCCCCACAAATGCCTCGAAAATGAGGTTATCTGGGGCTTAAGGATAACAAGAAACTTGTGAAAACTGCGAATTGCCACTGCCAACCAAATTTTTTTACTCGAGATTCCCCCACAAATGCCTTGAAAATGAGGTTATCTGGGGGTTAAGGATAACAAGAAACTTGTGAAAACTGAGAAGCTAATTACACTCGTAAATGTAAACAACATGGGATGCGATCTCATTGCCATGGGGGATGTCAACCACACGTTTCCATCAAAAGGGCCCATTTCCAGGGAAGGTAATTAATGTACAGAGTGATCCTTAAAACCAAACAAATGACTCAGGACTAAAATTGGAGCCCCACAATGTGGAGCCTTAGCCTATATAAGGAAAGAGCGCATCCCGGCAGTAGTAATCTTGAGCTTCTATCTCTGCAGAACCAAAAAGCAAGCAAAATTAACAAGCATAGAATGGCATCAACAAAAATTGATGTATAAATCCGTGCGTAGGATCTTACATTTACAGACTGTACAAACCACCACCGAGGTTGGTGGGGTCCTCACTGCTGCCTTATCAATCAAACATCAAAACACTGCTCCCCTTTCTCAATGGAGAAGTTGGCAAAATTATGCATCATGATTCATTGATGGTTCATCCTTCAGACCCTTGGTAAGCAAATCATAATTGATTGATGCAAGCTGGGAGAGATTCTGATAACCAAGTGTAAAAAATTAAATGAGAAAAGTTAAACTAATATAGAAGATAAATAAAAGAAAAAAGAAAGGGTGAATTAAAGCATTCTGATAATCCTTAGGAACCACGAGGAAAACTCCTCAAAATAATAAGGCCAGGCTGGATCAGAACTCATTTATGTAAACGCCCAATTAAGGCATGGTTTTAAAAAACAACCCGGAACCGTTCTGGCCACCGGTTTCCGGGTCAACGGTTCGACCATCCGGTTTGAACAGACAGCCTATTTTGACAACAAAAATTAAAAATTAAAAATTAAAAAATTAAAAATAATTAAAAATAAAAAACAGCCAAAACTGTTGAACGGGTCAACGGGTCGACAGTTTGACCGCCTGGGTCAATGGGTCGCTGACCGATTCGTCGATTTTTGGCCAGGGACCGGGTTTGGGGTAAAACAGAACCAGTTGCCTGGATGGTTCCCAGGCTGAATGGTCCAACTGTCCAGGTCAACGGTGGTTCGAAAACCATGGTCTAAGGTGTAATAATGCATTGCTAGGCTATCTCTTATCCCTATGCACATGGAATTAAACATAAAGCAACAATGACCTAGGTCATGTGATGGAAATTGGAAATTTGGAACCCACTGGTCCAAAGTAAAATGGAGCAATAGAACTTAATACCAATAGCCTACCAGCCCTACCCTCGGGGAAATCTGCATCAAGTAATCAGCACCAACAAGCAAACATTCCTATTGCCAAATACTTAATTTTCTACACTAAAATAGATTAAGTTGAATAATTTCCATTCGTGAAGAAGAACTAAGAAGAGGTACCCTACAAAGGGGAGTAAGTAATCTCTAAAAACTTCCAGCTTTCTTTTTCCCATTCTATTTTCTAAATATACTATTTATTAATGTGTAACTTGGAACTTTAAGTATTAACCGAGTATAAAGAATAAGCTATTTACAGAACTAGATATTCCAATGTATCACACACTTGCTTTGCATAGGGAAGCTAAACTCCCAACCCCAAGACCTTTTTTTTAGTTAGGATACCGAGTTCGCATGCCCCCCATTAATACATCCCCGAGACATTTGGTCCCTGTGGACCCCTTGTCTAGCTAATGCAACTTCCATCCCATTTGCTGATCTTCTTTGCCCAGCTAAATATGGCTCTTATTTGCCTTGGTAAACTTGTTGCCTATAGCACCAAAGGTCATTTTCTGTTACTAACCATCCACCCTATGATTGTGCAAGAGTCTCCTTAACACCAATAGATTGTTGTAGTTCAGTCATCATCATCCATGCCATATCCCAACTATAATGGGGTCGGCTACATGAATCTCGATTTGCCAATCCATTCTAATTAAAGCCCCTCTCCCTCTCCCTCCCTCCCTCTCTCTTAGTGTCTTCCATTTAGTATTGTCATCAACTCTGCCTTGATCAAGACTTGACTTACAGGTCTTGAATGAATTAATAAAACTTCCACTCTATGGTGTGTGAAAATGACCCCTACTCCTGCCAAACCTGGATTGCCCAAGCTGCAACCATCAATTCATTGTATATAAATTGGTGGAGGGGAGACAACGTGCTGGCTGCCAAGGTTCTTAAGGTGGGCAAATTAACAACCTGCTGCCAGTTTTCTAAATATACTATTCAAATTCTTTAAATATATACTATATACACACACAGGTTTGTTTCTCTCCCCACTGGTTTCTCCTTCCAAGTCTCACCTTTAACGCACTACAACCACTGCACTCTAAGCCATCATCATTGTAATCATCCCAAGCCTCTATAACCTAGAGATTATTTTATTGGTCCTCTATAACCTGGAGATTGCTCTAGTATGATTATTTAGTGCATGCTTTAGCTGCCAGAATTCCAAATGCAGTCTCACCAACCATTGCCCCTCTAGATTAATCAACCGTCCATCACGGATATGGCAAGAAAAACAAAGGAGTAGAGAGAGTTTGACCAACCATACTGGTCCAAATCGTGTTGAGTTGAGCTAAGTTGAAAGTGACAATGCCAAATGTCTCTTAAATGATGCCTCCAGCAATCTGATTCCTGAAAGTAAATATGATTGCATTGCTTTGACTAGAACGGGAGAAATAAAATGGGGATGTCTCTTGCTCATTGGGTTATCAGCAATGAAGGATAAATTGGAGGGTAAAATAATCTATTACATAAATTAGAAGGTATCTCAATGGACAAGTCAGTAATGACAATCACAGCTGCATAGGAGGATTGTTGAGCCGCTGAATTTCTTTTCCATTACAGTGACAGTGACCTAATGAGAGAGAAGTTAAATGATATAGCCCTCCCTTCACAACTCCCAATTTAGAAGGAATTAAGTTTGATTCCATGGTTTACAACTAATAATCTCTAATATCTACTAATAAATATCGAATATCAACAAATCATGATAAAAAAGGCCATTAACCAGTGCTGATCCCAGCTATCTGGAATCTTGGGAGCAGTAGACTAGATACGGTCCTAAACTTCAGCAGTTTTTTGCACAAAGTGGCCGCTCTCACTCAAACCCCCATTCACACCAAACAATGGCCCCTCATATACTAATAAAGGAATTTCTATGTAAAATTAGAAATTACAATCCTATACACCATAACTACATGATGCCTACACCTTGAAGCTCATGCCTTCCAGTCACTTTGAGATGCCTTGTGCATGTATAAAGAGACGTGTGAATACCTATAAACATTTCTTCACATATGTTATGAGCTTGAACATATTAAAGAGGTATTATTTTTACATTTCAAACTTTTCAATTGTTATTAAATGGTTTGTAAAAATGTGACTACTTTCTCTGAAATCCTAGTATTTTATATTTCTTGTGTGTGGACAGTTTTTCATTTATTTACTCTTCCAACATAACATCATAAACCTCTTGTTCATGCTTCTGCACACTTCTCATTTTAGTTTCAAGTTTTTCTTTAAAAAAATGGTAAACCTCATGAGTTGCTCTGATAATGTAATCCTTGGGTCTCACACCTAACATATCTAAATTTCCTGGCACCTCGCATCATGCCCCCTCACTTTCAACATTTGAACCTAGTTATATGTGAGATGATTCGTAGAGGATTGCTTTGATGATGCTAACTGCGAAAGTAGGTAGAGTAGATCTCATATAACAAATCTACCTAGCAAAATGATTAGCTTATCCAATTGCCTACATCAGACAAATGCAACCTTTCTTCCTAGGTAATAGTGCCCTTGTTTTCTGATAAGTAGAAAAGGATCCAGTCACCTAGGTAAGGAAGCTGTCTAATTAGATTAACTTATGAATAGAAAAATCCCCAAGAGGGAGTTGCTGCAAGTTAAACATTCCAGAATAGTAAAAACACAAAATATTATCTTGACAAATGCACGTACCTTGAATGAAAAGTTACTAAATGAGTACTTCACAGATGAGCTAGATTCAAACTCAGCAAGACCTCCACATTCATCACCCTGTTTGTCATTACCAATTAGGTGCCAAAACAAGTTAATCTCATGAAACATTAAAGAAAAATAACTGTGTTTTGCACTGGTTAAAATACCTGTTCATCCTGACGGTTGCTTAAGCAACTGCTGCTGCCACTTACACTGCCACTGTCACTAGAATCCTCAAATTCACTTGCTGCATAAACATGACCATCTGAGGGATTCCAGGAGTAACGACTTGTGAAGTAACTTGTATCAAGGGCACTCTCTGAAGCAGGAACAAATGCAGCCTATGATAACCATGGCGATCCAGGATAACTTGGTTAATCTCACACTCATGGGTGCTTTTGACGTGGCAAGTACATAAATACAGTTTTAAAATAAAACAGGCTGTTCAAAGTGTCACCTTCTGCCTGGCAAGTGTGTCCCAGTTGATGTCCTTGAAGAACACATGTTGCTTCACCTGGATCATAATTTTTCACAGATGAATTTCAATGCTATTTTAAAATAAGATAGGCTGTTTAGTGTCACCTTAGACATCTAATAGATGGCATTACCTCTGATGCTCCTTTAGCTCCAAGTCTCTGACTAGGATCCTCTGTCAAAAGTCTGGAAAATGGAACCAACAACTTCAGGTTAGTAAAAATAGAAATCGACTCAGTAACAATGGACCCCTCCAGATTATGAACACTATAAAGCAGAATTTTGATGGCTGCAGTAGAGGCAAACCAGGAGATTCAGGGATAGATAACATATGTTCAAGGACCATCTTAGAAACATCATGGCAATCTATTCAGGGCCTATCACACACAATGATTCAACTAGAGCAGAATTTTTTCAGTTCTCCAAGGACTGAAGTTAGGGAAAACTCAAAACAAGAAAGACATTAGAGAGGAAGGGGATTCGGTAAAGGATAGAAATCTAATGAGGGAGTCGAGAGCATCATTCAAGTGGGCTGAGATATTGGCATACAGCTTCACAGCTACTATGGCCAGGCAAGAAGTGGAAAAAAATCAGCTGCATCAAGGTGTTACAAACCCAAGTGATGGGTTGAGAAATATATAAATGTGAAGGCTTTGGGGGTGGGGCAGCAAATGCTAACCCATTTCAGAGGGCTACTACTATGCAGATACTACATTCCTTCCACTCCATGACTCCAATTAATAAAGCTGAATAGTTACTATGAAAAAAAAAAAAAAAAACACTTGGGCATGTAAGTTGATTGGGAACCCTAGGATGATGAACAAGTAATCCAAAGGTACAATTACTTATGGACAAAAAAGCCACAAAACCATAGGATCAAATAAGATGCATCCAGAAGAATTGACACCATAAGCTTCAAATAAGCTTTTTAATCTATTAAATGAAAGAATGACACCATAAGAGGTAAGCCTTCAAATGTTTACTCAAGCACATCTCAGAGACCATCATTCTGTAGCTCTTGAAACACATTCAGAAACAATGTTTTAAAACATGGAGGCATGATGCAAGGCATTCCACTACCTAGAGGCATGAAACGTAGTTTAGAACGTAAGAGGCGTAAGCCTCCTGAACACAGAGCCTCCTTAAGAGGAGGGGATGAGAAGGAGAAAGAAGAGGAAAGAGGATCTCATTTTTCTTTATTTTTAATGAAAAGCTTTTATATTAAGAAGAATGAAGAATGGGGAAAATTGCAATTCGGGGCAGGTCCCCACGGGGATCAGCCGATCAGGGAAATGTGGAAAATTGCCATCCCCATATAGGAACTCTATCATATGCCTTTTCTAGATCAATGAACACCATATGAACTCTATCAAATCGATTAGCTGATTCCCTTGCAAAACAAGGGCTTATGAGGCAGCAATTGCTTTGGGCTTCTCTGTAATCAGGGTTTGAAAAATGGGGATGACTCATGACTTTCTGGTCATCAAGATGCATTAACTACCTCTTTAATTGAATCTAACAAAATAAATTTATTTTCTTATGATCAAAAAAAAACATTGACTTGTTTGGGCTTGCCTCAAGAGACCTGGTCAGGGGTTGGGGGCCAAAGCCCCCAGCCCAACCACTAGACTTAAAAAAGAGCAAAATGTGCAAATTTCGAAAAGGTGCATGCCTAGGCTGAAGCGCAAGGCACACACCTTTTGAAAGTGTTGTGCTTAGGACCTAGAAAAGGTCCATACCTTAAGATGTGCCTCATCTGTGCATCTAGGGACCCTTTAAATCACAGCAGCTAAAAGTGACAAAACAGTGAATTTATCATGTAAATTCACATACATGAAATGTGTAAATAAGGTACAGAAATATTTGAAGATATTTGATTAGGTAAGATATTGTACAAATAACAGCATCAGCATCAGATGTGTCTAACATGACAATAAATCAAATCAAAGAACATGAAGTAGGTTTCTTTATAAGAACCACAAGAAACTAAGAAAACAAATGACAGCATAACTCATGTTAACCACCTTTACTCATTTTGATCTCAGTACAAGTAAAGGCATCTTAAAGTATCTTACCGATCAATTAGATCTTGTGCTTCAGGGCTCATTTCTTCAGGCAGTTGGGGCCAAGGTATTTTCCGATTGAGTATATTGTCAAAAATTGTCTAGAAGCAAACCAAGGAAGTAAATAAGAATCAAACTTGATATATAAAAATAGCAACAGTTTAAAAAAAAAAAAAAAAAAAAAAAAAAACAAACAAAACAAACCAAATACATTTTGAATAAGGATTTTGTGGGTTTTTGTTACAATAATTGGAGTAGGCTTTGGGGGGCATACAACTGATAAAATCAGATTGAAGGCCTAGCCTAAGACATGCTAATCTTCCAGCAATTTTCACAATAGGAAAGAGTGAACGCCCCACCTAGCCTACCCAAAAATTGATGGGAAGACATTATTTTCTGAAGTGCAAAGACAGGGGAAAGATAATAACCTGTGGATGTTCGGCATTAAAGGGTGGAATGCCAACAATCAATTCAAAAAGAATAACACCCACAGACCACCAATCTGCTGTTGCGCCTGAGATACAAATGCATCACATAATAGTGAGTTTTAAAACAAAGAAAGTAATAGATCCTAAGACATGATGACTCTATTAGGCCACCAACTAGTTGTGTTACAAACAGGAAAAAGCTACACAAACCATGTCCTGTTCCCAAGAGTATCTCTGGTGCCAAATAATCAGGTGTGCCAACAGCAGAACGTTTCTGCCGCCTTTCCCGCTGATGCAATTGCTCAGAAACAGATAACTGAGGTTCATCCTCTCCAAGTAGAGATGTCCCACTAACAGCTGGACCAGACAAATCATCGGTACTGTTGATGAGACCAACCTTCGAAAGCCCAAAGTCTGTCAACTGTTCAGAAACAAGGCCAGAATTGTGTAAGGTTTATGAAAAGACATAATATTTCAATAAAACTAGTAATTCAGTGAGCATAGATTTGGAATAAGAACCACCACCAATTGGAGATGGGTTTTATGAAGGGAGACCACTGCAATGGCAAAACAGAAGTGCAAAGAACTTGACTCTTCTTAACACAAAACACATGTTATAAGACATTCCTTTTCACAATAAGATAAAAGTGATGATCAAAATCTACAAGAATAATATGATATATGAATGGCAGTAGAACAAATGGAAAATAAATGCTATAAGAGATTCAAATCAAAATAATATGAAGGAACATCAAATACAAAATCTTTCTTTTGATGATAGCACAACATATACAGCAAGTGTATACAAAGGAACAAAGACAGGAGAAAGAAACCAATAACCAGTGTTTTTAAAATCAACTGACTGTCAAACCAGAATGCCAGGTGCTTTCTGGATTGGAAAGCTTAAATAGTTAAGTGTTCAGAGATTACGTTGTTCTGGGTTTTCATATAGGGAGGGAGTTGGAGGGGCATTTCTGAAAGTTTAGTGTCTGGAATTTTATATTGTAATTCTGTGTCTATATGAGATATCTACTCTCTATGTAATTTCAGGTAACTGTATGTTAAGGCTTATCTAAGCCATCAGTTGTCTGTGATTATAGAGGAGATTGGAGCGATATGGGTTGACTCTAAGAAGGATATGAGTATGTTTTTCCAGATTCCATCGCACTTGCAAATCTTGACTCTTTGTTTTTTATGTTGACTATTTTTTCATGTTTTAGTGCTCTGAACTTCCTTGTACAACCTCCTGTTTGCACTTCTGTTAGCAAGGTATCAGACTTGAAGAGAGAACTCCTACAGATTTTTTTGAGAAAAAGTAAAGTATATCATATTGATGTACAAGAGTGTATTCTGTACATGGGGAGGGAAAAACCCCTAACATATACAAGTATAGAGAAAATTACAAAAATGAGGGCTTCAGTTGATAGCTTAGAAACCTTAGCCCAAGAATGAATCTTTGCTGTTTAGTTATAAATCATTTCATCTAATTGAGAGGATTTTGCATTCAAAAATTCTGTCATTCCTGTCAAACCAAATAGACCAAAGACAGCTGCAGGCAGCATACTCCATATGAGTTTTTTCTTTTTTTTTATCAATAACAATAAGTTTTATTAAAGATAGGAATAATTAATTACAAGAGAGGGGGGAGGTAAAATATCTTAACTCCCCACCATCAAATTACAAAGAAAGAGGAATTAGAAATTACTCCAAAGCAAAGACACCCTATTCACCCCTTACTTGGCTAACCCATCAGCAAGTGAGTTGGCATTTTTTTCACCCAACTGTACTTCACCTCAATGTCCCTAGCAAGCCATTTGAATTTTTTCCTTTCATTTCTATAGCTCCACATGCTACTGTTTTCTTTCTTTAGCCATCTAACCACTTTCCACAGCTGCAAAGATCTCAGCCCTGAGAGAATCACCTTCTCCAATTGGGCCTGAAAACAAGGCTAGAATAATCCCTTCCTCGTTCCTGAACACACCCCCAATCCCAAAAGGCCCTGGATTCCTTAAACTACTTGCATCAAAATTTAGTTTTATGAATCTAAAGGGTGGTAAAGTCCAAGATGGGCTAGAAATCCTCTTAATTTGAGCAGAGCTAACTATCTCTTTCCAATTTCTCAGCAAGTCAGTCATGGAAAAATCTGTAAAAAGGTCCAATGATCTCAGCCAGTGAACCACCCTTAAGTGTATCAGTTCTATTAAGCTCTCAGAGGTTCTTTCCTTGTCTGAAAATATACATGAGTTTCTTTCTTCCTGTAAGGATCAACAAACTGCTGCCCTGATGCATCTCCACATAATCCTCCCTCTTTTCTTAGGCCAGCTGAAATAGGAAAGAGAGAACAAACTTTGCACATTCAAAGGGGGATTCCAATTATGACCAAAAAGGGAGAAAGCCCACTCCCAAATAGTTTTAGCAAACAAGCAAAGTAACCACAAGGTGGTAGCCAGTTTCCCCATCAACCCTACAGAGACAGAGAGAACACCTATTTGGGGATAAACAAGAATTAGGTCTCTTTCTTTGAAGCACGTCACTTGCGTTGATTCTTTCTAGGAACGTTTCCCAGCAAAAACTACCAACCCGAGGAGGAATAGGCTTGCTCCAGACCTCTTTAACAGGGAAGGGCAACCCAAGAGGAGCAGGAGGTTGAATTAAGGTTTCAAAGAACGAGGCACAAGAGAAGGTACCCAAGGAGGAAAGGGTTCAAATTCTGGTATTTTCCTTAGTGGGGTCCAGGAAAACATTTTCAATGATGTTTAACAAAGTCAAAATGCAACCCAAATCTGTATCCCTGATGGCCCTTCTTAGGCCCAAGTTCCACCCAAAACCAGAAGTTGAATCTAAAGGAACTAAGAAAGAAGAGATAGGTTCGTTTTTGAGGTCTGACATACTCCATATGAATTTATCATTACTAGAAAGACCACCAATAAACCAGCTATAGAACTCCAATAAATGTCTAAAAATTATCCAAATAAGGCTTGCTTAAGTTTTGCTAACAGAAGTTTCAAGGATTTCAAAGATTGAAAATAGCTCTTATCATGTTAAAAATAACAAAGTACTTGGAGACCTGTAAACTCTAAAAACTCTTGTATCATTTAATGAATTTATTTCAAAGGTCTAAGAGTTTTTCTAGGAATTTTGGACAAGATTTCAAGAGTGATTTTGTTCGTCTTGGAATTTTCAGTGGACCAAATAGGGTCAAACCATGCATCTTGTTGATATTTAACTATTGAAAGCTGATTCCAGTAGATTTTAGATTACCTCATTACTGGTTTTAACAAGAAACAAGATGATTAGAGATATGTTTTCAGATCTAACTAGTCATCATCACCCTTTCAGTGCATTTGGTTAGCTCCAAAAGGCCCACTTATGCCTGAAGTTTTGCCCTAATTAATAAGTGATTAGGTCAACACTTATCACTTATTAGTGATGCAGATAAATATTTCATTTATTCTTTTAACATGTTAAAACTTAAATAATCACAAAAATACCCCTCAACAACTCCAACATGATAGTTTAATCAGGCTTAAGACTTCCATACACCACTTAAATGTGCTACACTGTCTAATAGGCCATATTTTGGGGCAATTTGGTGATTCTGGGATTACTTTTTGGTTACTTAATATTCGCTACCTCTATAAAATTCTCTCATAGTACATCTGGCCTTCTTCCTGCTGAACTTCAATTGACCAGAAACTGAAGTTAGGTAATTTGGCTCAAAACAAAATCCATGAAGACCAAAATCTCCCTTGATTTAATCATATCTCAAGAATGATCATGTTGAGACCTCTCTACTTTACCATAACCACCACCATGTAAATCTTCACCTTTAAAGGGAGAGTCCTCCCCTTCAACTGCAAAATAAAGTGTAGGAAAGGGACAATCAATCCGATCCAAACAATTAAAAGATGTATGTCTTGCTTAAAGCACAGAGTACCTTATTCCAAAAAGAGAAGACAGACCAACAGTAGTGGTTTTTGATAAAAAAAAAATCTACCCAGTCCAAACCCACCTCCACAAATTTAATTCTGGATATGCATAAAAGAAGCATCCAACAAGACACTGACAGAAACAATCCTTCTTGTTGAAATAACTTAGTATATTCAACTTTAGTGCTGCAAGGGCACCTTTGTAATTTTATCCTTTCTTTTTTCTGTATAGTCGCCTTAGTATAAATACCAATTAAACTGGAGCCGCCAGTTGACTTTTGTCTCTCCCAATTCTGTCTCTCTCCTCTCTCTTCTCTCTTCTCCTTCTTCTCTTCTCTCTGTTCTGGAATCAGACCATCTCAGCACCAAGAAAACATGGTATCAGAGCGGCAGATCCAATCTCCTCTTTCCTTTTTTGTCTATTGCTGATTGAACCAAAGAACAAGATCTCTGGTGGACGTGTGAGGAAGCTCACTGTAAGACAGCTCTTTCCTCTTGGTCGAGAACCCAGAAATTATCAGGGGAAAGAAAAATCAAATGCTGTGAATCAGTTTCGAATACTGTGAGTTTTTTTTAATTTTTCTTCATCAGTTCTGTGGATCGAACTGATCCTTTTGTACCCAGATCAGTGGGTTATGTGGGTCTAATGACCTGCGGCTGGTGTGAGAGTCTCTTCTCTCAATGTATGTGGATCAGTGATCCTTCCTATGCCCTGAAAGGTGTGTTTTCTTCAAGACTGCAGATCTGTAACTGCTGTGACAGCAGTTTTTTTCCTTCTATTTACATTGAACTTAAGTTACTGTGTGAAAGTTGATTTATTGCCAGAGGGAATGATCAGATCTGTTTCTTTGATATACCTTACACATCTGAAATGGTGTGTGATCAGTCTAAAATGGTTCAGTAAAGAAAAAAAAAAATTCTGAGAATAGTAATGGAGTTTGACCAGCTTTGATCTCTTTGTGTGAGAACAAGTTTCTTGTGTCCAGAAGTGTGATGTGTGATCAGTCTAAAATGGTTCAGTAAAGGAAAAAAAATTCTGAGAATAGTAATGGTGTGTGACCAGCTTTGATCTCTTTGTGTGAGAACAAGTTTCTTGTGTCCAGAAGTGTGACTGAACTGAGACAGCAACCTGTTTTTTGACTGTACTGTGAGTCTGAACTGAATTAAAAAAAGCTTGTTCTCTAGCTGGATTGTGACTGATCAGATTCAGCATCTATGTCTTCTGAAGATTCTGGTATGTCTGGTGTTACTTCTAGTCAGAGTGGGATGAGCGGAGGTTTTGACATGAGTTTTCCCGCGGCTGTGATTCCCTTTGATGGCCTCAATTACCTAGAATGATCGAGGGGAATCAAGCTCTACATAACTGCAAGGGGAAAAGCGGGGTATATCAATGGCAGAATTAGAGAACCCCAGTCGAGTGGTGTGGAACATGAGAGGTGGGACCAGGAAAACAGCATGGTGATGTCATGGCTGTTATTGTCTATGCTGCCAC